TAGTTTCATGTGTTGTAAGTTTGTACATAACGATGTCACGGCCTTGATTTTCTGTGAAACAGACCAAAAGTGGATGCCCATTGGGCATGGTGTTGATAGCTTCTGTTTTGATTCCCATTACCATTTGTAAGCAATCTATTTTGTATCTCACGCGTCCATGTATGCAAATTTATTTCGATATCAACATCATCGCTTTATGACAACAGCTTTCTCAATAAGGCCCTACTGCATTTTCTCTCAGAAATCTTCAGTGTGTCAAACTGCATGACGTGTTTAAAACCTAAATTTCATCTGACGTCACTAGTTATTTCACTGTGACTGGAGCATGACTATTTTGTGTGTGTATAGGCGCCTTGGTCGGGTTTCCGGATAAGTGCTCTATATAAATCTATATTATTATTATTAAACACCTGTGGTCAATTGCAGAACACTTGTTTCTAGACCCCTCTACTCCGTATTCATGCGCGCTTGTAGTTACCTTATTAATCTTGTGCTGGTGGATTGTGCAAAACACATCCGCTGTTCGTATTTTTCATTGCCAAACCTTCTTTGTGTTCCGTTGGTCGTTGAATTGAACACTGAAGCGAAGGAATACCCCCCCCCCCCATTGATAATTATAGAAAAAAACGTCAGTTAGTAGTTTAGGAGACGTTTCTATTTTTGGTCGTAGTAATTTCAGGGAGGCGCGTTTGGCTTGTACAGTTTATAGTTGTTCATTTCGTTCCATTCACTTTTCTTTGGAAGAGTTGGGGTTTTTTTGCGGCGGAGTGATATTTTAATATGGATTGTTAATAAGCTGTTGGGGTAACATCATAGTGCCAGATAGAAATCCCCTAAAAAGTCGCGTTTCTGATCAGGCGTGTGTCCAGTTTGAGGTTAACTGTTATTGAGTTGTAAAATAATCTTTCTTAATGCGTATTAATATTTGAAGAAAAAAAAAGTATGTACTTTTAAAAACATGTTGTAGGTTTTTCTGGTGGTGACCGATACAGTGAACAAATTCTTAGCAGAACGCAGGTCGAAATGCATAGCCACCTCGATATGTATGACTTAACTCATTCCTGTCCGTCATATTGATTTGGTCACGTGACAGGCAGTTATAAGGATCATTGCGTCAGCGTATGTTACCAAATTGCCATTATGCCAAAATGAACTCATTTTGTGTTACTTGAAACGTTTAAACTGAAGTAGTTGAATCATTAGTGATTGTACATGCCACATATACCAGTTTCGAACATGTGTTGACCCTAACCCCAAAGAGTTCATTTGGGGTAAAGTACCACATACTACAAAATACTGTGAGTGTTGTGCCCACCGTTGCCCTGCAGTAGTGCATACTACAGTTTAGTAGTAGTATTTTGCAGCTTAACGTGATGTTAGGGTTAAAGCACGTGTATGCCCAACTTGCTCAGTGATTGCGCACACATTAGAAAGCTCTTCGTGTGGGCTGGTTCACGCTACCAGTTACGCCATTGCTGTAACACTGCGCAGTACCATCCATATTTTAACACCGTTTGGTTGTGGCAAAATGGCTGCATTTCAGTTTGGCTCGTGACATGTACATCATTGTGTTCCTTCGAATTCTGTTATTAACGCCCAAACAGGTTGCATTCTGCTGAGTATTTGTCGAGTCCGTAGTGTTCTTTTCTTTCGTTCTCAAAAATATATTAGAAAGGCTTGTTGAAATGGCGTGTTATATGATACAATTTTGAAGTATGCATTGGATGGTTTCGTACCAAGTTTGTGAATTGATTGAATAAATTATTACCAGATATGGGTTCGATTTCTACTGCACATTTTGTTGTTCTTTTTTTGTGTTATGTATTGTTGGTTTTGCCGAAGCGGGCGAGGCGAAGTCTCATTTATGTTAAACGTATACCTGTTTTAGATCAGACCAAGGAGCAAATCCTACCCTAGGACACACGTACACGCCCTGGGTTTGCTGACTTTCAGATATGAATAGGGATGTTCATACGAGAAACGCAGTTCATTTAAACTTTTTTGTGAAAGAAATAACCAAGCTTATACCCAGCACGATATGAGACGGAGGGTACCCCCATCTCCCTTTACCCTATGCAAACCCTAGACTATTGCTACCTAACACATCCCCCCTAGAAACCTCAAAATAATTCCTGAGATTCTGGTACCTCAATGACCAACACAAGGGGGGGGGGTGCTCCCTCTGTCTCATATCGTGCTACATTATGACCAATTTGGACCAAGCTAATGGCAGACCGCGCCGATAGCAACCGTTAAAAGTCACGTGACCGAAAGGCATTATCTAAGGGCAAGTTCGCGCAAGAACTATTGTTGACCATTGGATAACCATGGTGCGACTAAAGTTAGCCCGAACTCTGTCTAGTCGACGGTAGTTGACTACGCTAGTCGACTATTTGGAACCAGCCTACCGCGACTGGTTGCATCGCTGGTTACCAATAGCCGCGCGCATTTATAACGTACAGCAGGGAGCCAGGACCCAGAAGTTTGCGATGACATTTTGACCAGCGTTTGACTAGAGACCTTCGCACGTTGCTATTAGTGCGCTGGTGTAAGGTACGTCACAAATCAACCACTAGTCGACTAATGGTCCTTGCCCGAACTTGCTCTAATACGATGCGCACTGTTTGATTGACAGACTGGAAGGGTCAATTTGTCAACGATACGAGCAAATATGTCAGGCAGAAACATGTACATGTGCATGCGTCCAATCGGTTGGGCAGTGCATGCGTGAACGCGCTCTGTAATAAACTTGCAACTGGTTTTTGCAAAAGATCCAATAATTGCCTGTCGTGCTTACTATATAGGGGAGGAAGTGAGGGTAGATGAACCCTTAATTGTATAAGTCTGACATGTTATGCTTGTTTGAATGTATTAGCCGCTTGGAAGCATTTGTGAGGCCCATAGTGTTTAGATCTCTCAGGCCGTTCGGTTTACAATAGATACTTCATACCAGGCGATAGTTGACAGTGTGTAGGAGGCACTGACGGTGGTTTCTCGTCAAGCCCGCGGCACAACCGTGAGAAAAGATGAATCCTCTGATTCTGTGGACGTGTCTTGCTTTGGGACTCGGGGGTAAGTTTTTCATCTTAGTTTTCTTTTGGGGAGTTAAATTTGTGATACAAGGAGGAACTATTGTTGTGTCAACTATGATGATTTTAGGGGAAAAAAATTACAGGGGAATAAACAAAATGCAAGTGCAGAGTCGTTTTAAAATCTGGAGAGGTGGTTGAAATAATCGTGAAGGAAAACAGTTCAACCCTTTCAAATTGTTTTTCATGCACACAATCATGATTGCATTGTCTCAAAGTGGGTCATGATCAACGGGATATAGGATTTTGCTTATCGTACCATCTCAATGGGCTTATTTCTATTGTGATATTTAGATTGGTGTTGTCTCTAGTAAACAGAAAACCAAGAGACCTGTTCAAGTATGTGAGTTTTCAAGCATTTTCCGTTGATCTCACTCATCACAACGGGATGTCGCCTTGTTACAAGAGTGATTACGATTCTTTCAGTTCTGGTTTCATTTAAAGTGTCCATGCAATGTATTTTTTTAAGTGCAATCCTTGAAAATGCAACTTTGTGTCCCATTTAACCTTAATTTTCAATTTGAGTTTGGACATTTCCAAGGGTATTTTGTGCCTTTTTGGTTTTCATGCGAATGCGAATTTCCATTTTTATGAGCAAATGTACGATGTCATTTCAGGCAGAAACCTAGATGTTACAGGTATTTCAGCACCAAAAGTTGCCAGAATTTTTGATATTGTGCGGTTCGTAAATTTTCTTTTCACTGGTGATTCGTTGTTGCGTCAGAACATGGCAATAAGCCAATGAGCAAACTTTTCAAATCTATAGGGCAATTAACTGGCCAGTCTCTGCAAATGGAAGGATTGATTGCTGTTATTTTTTGTCCCTTACAAAAAATGAAGTAGGAGCGAAAAAACATAAACAATAAAGGGGACCATATTGTTTTGCATATTATTGAGAAACACTTGATGTAACCCCTCATATGTTTAAAGATGTTCTCCACAGAGATTGGTAAGACTTAATCAACATGATGGGTAAACGAAAATATTACTCCTTTTTGGGCGTACTTTTTAAACATGTTTTTGGAGTAAAAGTTTTCTTGCACTGGGAAAAATGAACTCTCCGTGGCAAACTCTTGGTGGCGCACTGCATTGTGAATCGCCCGAATTAAGAGAGGGGCACTGCTTTTCCGTATTTGAAACCGATGCAGTTGGAATGCTTGACTGAACGTTGCCTTCGTGGAGCTCTGGAGCAACTGGTGATTTGCATACTGGTTATGCTGTAGTTATTTTTATAGCCATATGTAGAATGCCATGGTCCAGTGGTTACGGTGTTTTACTCGAGCATGTACGATGTGTACGTTAAGGAGAATACACGAGAAAGTGTGGATTCGTAATGTAAGAATTCACGAGGCGCGAAGCGCCGAGTGAATTCGTAAATTAAGAATCCACACTTGCGAGTGTATTCTTCGACTTAAACCATTGCGTCAAAAGAAGCATTGGCATTAACAGTGAGTGGAGATGAAAAGACTTGGGATAAATGTTGCAACCTGACGCCACTTCCGCGATTGTGTTCAAAGCCTATGGAGAGTCAATAATTTTTTTAAAGTATTTCCTAACAAAATTGGAAATATTTCTCAGTCCCAGATTCATGTCTTATCGTCATTTTTGCAATGAATGCCCTTCATTGAGATGAAAGTGGCGTCAGGTTGCAACATTTGTCCCGGCTCCTTCCGTTGACAAATTGATAGTTCAGACGATGATTTCTTTCTGACTCAAAGTAGGTTTTGTAGTGACGGCGGAGAATCTGACAGGGAAGATGCATTGGTAATTGCGGAAGGAAATTTTCACGCAGACGGTCCTATTAATGCTCATTATAGAGAACAATTGTCTGACGTGTTCAAAGTGTGGATTCGTAATTCCGAATCCACACTTACTAAAGATTCTTCGTTCCGAATCCACAGATTCGTAGTTCCGAATCCACACTTTTAACAATAGTGTGACGTAATAGCAGTGGTTTAAATGGGTTCGAACCATGCCAGGAACACGGTGTTTTGAGTGGGTATTTCTTCTGGCACGCTATAACCATGGAGGAAGGAACATAACCAACTTGTATTTCACATCAGAATGTTAACATGTATCTCATGATGTGGGTTTGGTGAATTAACCACAAACGGGGACATAAACAGCAATTAGTTTTTCTTCAAGCCGTATACGTATTCCGTATATCTGCACCATTTCTAAAGGTCTTGGAGCCCATAATTATTGCAAATTTTCAAGAGGCCACGAATGTGCAATTTTGCTGAATTGGAAAGTGTCTCTGGCAAATATCAATATAGAGAGGGAAAATACTGTTCAGTATGTAAAATCTATGCAGTTGAAATGCTTGAAAGTTGCCTTCATGGAGACACTGGCGATTTTACGTACTTTTTGTGGTAAGACATTAGAGTCATTTTTTTTTGATAACCATGTGTTCAAGTATCGTCCATGCACAAGGCTGAATAGTGATTAAAAATAGGCATTCATGCTGCAAGCACAGAGGTGATCCAATCAATCTCTTTAAATGGGAGCTAGTTACTGATCACCATATTTTTAGGGGGGGGGGGAACAGTCTAGAAACACTTGTAGTGTCTCCGAATGTAAGTCCATTGTGCAATATGCAGTCAGTATAGAGCAGGAGTTTCTTAATTGCGTCATGTCCTTTTAATTGTTTGCTTCTGACGGCTATCTACGACCTACCAAATTGAGAGACATTACGAAATAAACAGTCCAGGGAACCAGACTAATTCAGCAAACTAAGTTAATAAATAGCTCTGGTGTCTCTTAAAATTAGAACTCTTTAACAGTAGAAGAGTGTTAATAAGGATGCAGCTACCATAACAAAAATACTAAAATATGCTCCTTTCCCGCGCGATTCAATTTTGGTACGGTGGAGTTTTTATGCAAGAAAATTAATTTCACCGTTGTTGGAGGCAATTGCTGTAACAACGTCAAGGTGAACAAAAGCATTTTTAATTTCCGCTTCAATTTGGGAGCCGTTGTGCATGCGATCTTTTGAATTCACAACAATGCAACCTTGGGGTCTCATCTGACCATCATTAGCTAGCTTGAAAGAACCTCCTTTATACATGTAGTACGCTATTTGTGTTAACTGAGGCGTTCACAGAACGACCTTTCGCAGTGTATTTGACTCGTAAATTGTTGACTTCTTGTTGCGTTGATGAGGCTTGGGCCATGCCAGATGCTCCCCTCAAATTATTTGATAAAATATGGCTATGGTATCTACAAATTTAAAACAAAACCCAATCTTTAACAAAATTGGTTTAACAGTGACGGAGCGACGGGTTTGGTGGGGTGGAGTCGGGAGGGAGCCCCGGCCTCTCCCCACCCCCCCACCCCGAAAATGCGATTTATTTGTAGTGTGATGGAAAGTGTGTAGACTTAGAGCCAGTTTATTCCCTACGTCATTTGTATTGCAATAGTGTTAGTGCACTGTTTTGCGTGACTGCGGGAAGTTTGTTGAACCATTGTCAGTAGATTTCCATTGCCCTTTGTGATTGCGCAAGGCTATGTAGGTGACTGGGAGGAGCTTAGTTAGTGTACGGTGAACGTGCACTAGCACGTTTGTTTTTGGTGTAAATCGAAGATTTTCTTTTGTTCCTCTTCCCTTTTCCTTTGTTTGTACTCAAACGTTTTCGCAACAGCTTTCATTGGTTTTATGCACGTTAATCGAGGTCGTCCTCGATTTGGTTCCTGCCCTCGATTCACCGATGATGTTGCATGTGTGTGTCCTCAGTTTACATCATAAACAAACCCGTACGTGTTTTCTGGGTACACACGTGGCGTTTGGGGGAGTTGAGCTGCGGACAGCGAGCAATGAGGAATTTGTGTACTTGTGCTGTGCGGTTGTACAATGTTTATGCGCGAGTTGTACAAAGCTGCATTGGCTGTTTTGGGGCTACGCTGGTATACATAGCTGATGTGTTGAAAGTACAAGGCTGCCAGAAGTGTACGTTGCTAATACTGGCGAGCATGGTTGATGCGTAGCGGGTACAAAGCTGTACATTGCGTTTGTGTTGTACATTAATTACTCACGCTACTGTACATGGCTGATGCTGGCGCGTATATTGATGTCATTATGTGGTGCGTTGCTGTCACGGTTGTGCAGTGCTGATGCCGTTGTGCGTTGCTGCTGCGAGCAGTATAGGCTTGGCTCATCTCTACAATAGTTAAAGGATCAGATAATCAAACAACCACGCCTTTTAATTTCAATTACTGTACATGTATTGATTATTGTTAAATAAATTATCATTGTTGCTTGAGATTACCGACAATTCTGTTTCAGGTGTCTCTGTTACAGGTTCATTGTGCAATCAACAGGGTAATAAACAATCATTCAAAATTGGAGGTAGATTTTCACCAAAATTGACCTGCACCCTTAGCCCTCACGTCGCTCTGATTAGTATCTCGTCTAGGAAAGAGCCTTGGTTACTCATGGTGTCAGAAGTGGGATGATTGTGATTTACTAAGTGGATTTCTCTGAATGGCACATTTTATATTTTAATAGCTTTGAAATCAGCCCCCCCCTCAAGTTTTATATTCTGTGATAAAGAACAAGTTAAGATTTAGACACACTTTTCTTTTCTTTTTATTATGGCATTAGATTATGGGGACATTTTCTGTCATGCTCAGTCTTTGTGACGGAAAGTGTGTGAATTGTTCACGAGTTGTCCAATTAACGCGGTGACGGCCCGCCCACTATCACGCGTTTTCTGCCATTGCAAACTGCGAACCTCCAATCAAGCTGAAACAGTAAATACTTGAGTAATTTTGCTAGAAACGTAAACAGTTAGTCGTTGGAATACTGTTGTCCTGCACCAGTTTCATATAATGTCTTTAGAGGCATGGATTTTTATCCTCTGAACTTGAATAGCGTGGTAATATTAACACCATTGTCATTGCTTTTTCGCTTTCGACACACAAGTCTACACAGGCGTTGTTGAGAGTCAGTTGAGGACTTGTTACTTTGGTCCGCCACCGGAGCCGCTTCCTGGGGAACACTGGATGCAAGCAGCAACTCGAGAGATACGCAAACGATGCCCAGGGACGCAAATCTCTACTGGTAAGTTTTCTACTTTGTTTTGTTGGTCCAATCAAATAAATACAAAATAAGACACAGATTGTATCGATTAAAAAAATGTTTTCCCTTCAAGGAACCAACAATGGCCAATCAGGTCAGGAAGCCAGTATGTCAATGGAACCCAAGGCAACCACCGACCAACCAACCACTGAACAATCTATCTCGACCGTCAAACCGACAGAACAAGGTACGATACAATTATAGCTAAAATTATTTATGTTATTTAGAAAATCTACAGTTATCACACCATTTTCGAGAGACTGTTCAAAGGGATATTACTGCAAAAAATCCCCGAAAATTGTATGCTTTCGATTGTTTACTGATCCTATTTCAAAGGTCAGGGGCCAATTTCATGGAGCTGCTCAGCACAAAAAATGTGCTTAGCATGAAAGGTCTGCTTTGGGAAAAACAGGATTACCAACCAATTGTTCATGTGATGTATACTGCTTGTGATTGGTATTCAGCTGTTGTTTGCTCAGCATGAAAATAACATGGAATTTTTGCTGGTAACCTGCTTTTATAAGCCAAACTAAGCAACTTCGTGTGCTTAGCAGCGCCATGAAATTTACCCCTGGTTGAAAGGAAAGAGACGAAAAAATACAGACCGGTTGTTTACATCGGACGCGGCGGACATTTTGTGGCATACGCATACGTGCTTCCAGCCGTGTCTGTTCAGTGTACGGTACTCGTTGTGTGTGTGTGACATACAAAAGACCAATACACACTTGTTGTTTCTCACACGTCCGAGAAATGTGGTGCACTGGTTAAAGGAATTTCAAAAGTGGTTTGCTCCCCCTTAATTCTAAAAGAATGAAGTTTTAGGCCCTTAAATTTCCAAAATTGTCGGATGTGAAGCACAAATTAGACAAAGATTGTATCGATTAAAGAGTGTTTTCTTCCTTAAATGAACCAACAATGACCAATCAGGTCAGGAAGTCAGCATGTCAAGGGAACCCAAGGCAACTACCGACCAACCAACCACTGAACAATCTATCTCGACCGTCAAACCGACAGAACAAGGTACGATAAGATTATAGCCAAAATTATTTATATTATTTAGAAATCTATAGTTTTCACACCATTTTCGAGAGACTGTCTAAAGGGATGTTTAATGAGAAATATAAGAGGGTTCAGCTTTTCCGTGCTTTTTGTGTGCCTGGCAATCCACAATTATCACAACAAAAAAAGAAAAACAAAACCATGGAAATGTTTCCATCAGGACTCAGGTTGTGGGTAGGAAGAATTCAGTAAGGTCATTTATGCGGTTTGATACTGTGTCCCGATTTTAAATCAAATTCGTAAATTATTGCCAATATTGTTTTTTAAAACATCAAAAGTCAAAACCTAAACATTATGAGACCAAGGTTAAAGTGCGTGTTTTAAAAAAAATCTGATTTCCCTTTCATTGCTTCAGATGACAATGATGGTACAACACCTTCAATAATGACAACAGCTTCAAGTCCCCGATATGCTGACTGTCGAGACAGTTATGCGAATGGGATATATGGAGGCGTGGTCACCATCTACCCAACGCAGTATCCAGACGGCTTGGAGGTCTCCTGCAATGAACAGTGGATTGTAAGTTCACTCTTGTTTATTATATTTCTGAATGCGATTCAAAGCCACCCCAAATAAACGAATTGAAAGTAAAACTATAGCCGGAAAGCCCCCCCCCCCAATTTACACTTCATTGTATCAATAGTAACTAATCCTGTCCATTTGTACCAAATGCCTAGTTTTGAGACAACGAACAAAAACCCATCACAATATTTTGGTCTCGTAAGTGGATTCCGAGTACCCATTTCACAACTACCTTCTGTTATTGTTTTCTTGTGATCCATACAATTTCAAGCGGACTATAGTTTCAAATAGCATACTTCGCTTTGAGCAAGCTTTTTCTCATTAAATCAATGTCTCATTTCCTAGTAAAATCCAAAGTTGTCAGCCAGCGTCGCTTGGTACAGGTACGTGGGGACATAACACTAGTCCCGGTTATTATGGGAGGTGCAGGACTCGTTTTTGTTGAAACTCTTGATCCATTATTGATCTGTTCCAGGTGATTCAGAGGCGTAACGTCGCGGCCGAGAATTTCACCCGTAGCTGGGCCGAGTACCGAGACGGCTTCGGTAATCTTGGCTACTCATTCTGGCTTGGGAACGAGATCGTCCGTCAGCTAACCTCAGATGGGAATTGGGAACTGAAGGTTGGATTGAATTCATTGGATGATCCCGGCTCATCGCAGACCGTACAATTTGACGACTTCCAGATCGTAGGGGATGAGTACCAACTCGTAGCGAGCCTAAACCCTTCGTTTCCACTGGGTAAGTGTACGCAGGTTTACAGCCGTGTGGTTGCGTTGGCCGATGCACACAGACATGTTCACAATGGCGGGCGAACTCTTTTTAAAGTAATTTCTCCCGTTTGGAAAACTGCATCTTAATGCAACTTGTTTTTTTCCCCCTCACAGTGATCCAACTATGTGCTAAAAATCGTTTTGATATGTTTGGTACTTTTCGTTGAAATTGGGAAAAAATGCCTGGCTTACGTACGCGCATTTTAAAAAGCTGTACCACTGGTGTTTGCAATATGTCTATCTTTTCAAGGCTCACGAATATTAACCCTAAAGGGGCCGGGTTGTTTTGACCATCTCTCTATCGCGGAAAAAGTCGAGGGGGGGGGGATTACCCGCCCCCCCCCCGGCCCTTTAAGGGTTAATAAGGTTCCCATCCATTATGGTGTGCGGTAAAAGTTTGTAGAATAGCCTCCTTCATGAGTTATTAATTAATAAATATCACCCTTTTTGCCGGCTTCCATTAGACGAAAACCTAAACACACGCGAAGTTACACAGTCACGCTAATGAAAATGCTAATATGCGCTTCGTCATTGTTTCCCAAAAATAAGCCAACCTAAAAACCATGCGCGTGAGTTAATTTGGTCGGCAAAAAATTTCTCGTCGAAATTTACCTTGGAGATGGTTCAAGGTGTGACAGAAGTGTTTGCAACAACAGATTAAGCTTAAATTCGCACTATACTTAGATGATATAAGTGTTCAACTACTCGATGAGGAGATTCCTAGAAATTGAGATAAAATACATAGATTTGGGGACGTTTTCGAACGATTTCTTCACGAATTTAAGGTCAGCTTTACCAGTAACCAGAAGTGACGTTTCGGCATCGATGACGGCGATTTATTTTCACTGACATGAGGTTTAGAATTTCTTCACCGGTATAAGTTAACATTTCAATAATAAGTTTCCGACAAACTGACGAATAACATTCATTTTGTACTTTTAATGCACACCTTACATAAGCTGGATACCAGCGAAATTCCGTATTCGTCACTATGTAAACTTATGGATTTGTTTTGTGACTGATTCGCTGGGGGGGGGGGCGGGGGCTTAGGATCTCAAAGTCCAGATAAATATTAAGAATTCTGGCACAAATACTTGAAAGAGTTTATAAACCCTAAAAATAACAAAATTTCGAAATCGCCATAATGGTCGATTCGCCGCGTATGTCAGCTCTGCGACGATATATCCCAAGACTCAAAGAAGCTTATTTCTTACGTTTACCAGGTCATTCTCTAACCGACGTCCATACAGGCCAGCCGTTCTCAACCTACGATCACGACAATGACGACGAGGGGAACGATACTAATTGTGCCGCTTTGCTGAAGGGAGGCTGGTGGTTCAAGACTTGTACTGGAGGTGTGGACACTGAGGATCTCGTGCCGAGTAACCTGAATGGGGAGTTTTCCTATCCCGTCAACTACACGGGGCAAGATTACCGCGGTATGAGGTGGGCTGGTGCGTTCGATGGCCCAATTCGACCTTGCGAGATCTTGATTCGTCGCAATCGTAAGTATAAGGACGGTACTTTGTGAAATATGAACTCGGCAGTTACAGAACCTCAATCTTGGGAGGAAAGCAACCGAAATACCATTTTAACATCAATAAATTTGGCTTTAGTATAGTCGAGTAACGCAACGAAGAATTACATAAAATAATCGTAAATTGAGGACCGAGATTGAATGACGATTAAAGGTGAGTGATTGTCCCATGGTTGAAAATGTATACTAACGGATTGATTGTTCTTCTTTTTATTTTTTCTCAGATTGTTGTGGAATAACGGTAGACAAGCCGGACTATTAAAAAATAATCACAAAAGTCACTAAGTTTACATCTGTCCAGAAGCACGACAAGGTACACTTCAGCACGTGTTCCACTTCAGTGTCGTATAACAATGCACACTGCACACACATGTACATTGTACAACACGCGTATTACACGTACATGTGTGTGCATGTACTGCAGAGCATGTGCGTACATGTGGTGCAAAAGTTAGCAATTCCGACTTGATCAATCTGCCATCAGCACCCTCCCTGGCGTGTAAGCACACGTATTTATCGATGCATATGCAACACCATCCTTATGCAAATGCAGCAACATCGCTGGGCCAATCAAAGTAACCAATTTTTGAAGACTCGTTTATTATTTTCTGTAGGTATGGAATTCCGGGTAACAATCTGCAAAAGTTTTAAAAACGTAATCTTAATTTGTAGATTTCAAACACATAATATTTGGATGATTGTACGAGATGAGCTGCTCTTGGATTGAATTTATACAGAACACGACATTCAAATATTATTCAAAACAAAAGGGAATATTTATTGTGGTTATAAACCTGTAAAAGATGTTGAGATTCATTGATAGCGCTACGTTTTGTGCGTACCCAGAGCCGTTTCAAAGCATTCGAATGTACGCATGCGTGTGATATATGTTTCCACTCGTCACCATGGGATGCGTGTGCGTTCTCAGATAACGCTGATTGCGTGTTAGGAATAATATCAAACAATATGCGCTCGTTTTTAAGAATAAAAACGCTAATTACCTGAAATACTGTGATCTGATTGGCTTCTACCTAAATAGGTAGAAGCCAATCGCAGCAATTTTTTTTTTCAATAGACTGGAACAAACCAGCGCGTACGCTTGGCAGATTTTTTTTGACCAAGTCTGGGTTGCTGCATCACATAAAGATACCATGTACATGTACGTTTTTAACATGTTGGTCTAGATTTGACGCATGAGGGCGCGCTATGGTATACGGCGTGTACAGTGTGGGTACGTCCGCTATTCGCACACTTAGACACAGACCGAGCGCAACCCAGGCCTGGCCAAGTCTAGTGTAACTATTGTGGATAGCAAAACTTGTATTTTCCCTCTTTCTGACGAATAGGTTTTAGCATGAACGTGACTGTTAATAAATTGTATCGTACAAAAATGTGGAGCCGCAAGTTATTGCTAAATCAATATTTTGCCTGAGAACTGTTGCTGAATTACGTTGTCAACGCGTTCTAACACCAATCGTTTCTGTTGAAATTATATTTTTTCGTCGCTGGTTATTAAGATTTAGACTGTTTAATCGTGGAATTTAGATGTTACAAATAAACTCTACCAATCTCCTTAACACACGATTTTTAATACCTTTATCAGCAAGATCATTACTTAATATTTCATTGGACGTTGAGTTGTATCATAGATTATAATTATTGCTAGACCTATTTGGTAAGATTAGCGTGTTTATTTAAGATACCTTTTTAGCTGTAAATTCAATAAAAAGAATTGTTAGTCTTTTCATTTTAATTACTTTTATTAATAACATATATGTTTCATTCACAAATTTTAATGTGTTTTCAAACATGTAAACTCAAAGGAATTACCTTACCAATAAGTATTCAGGCGATTCTCAATGCAGTGCACCATCAAGAGTTTGCCCCGAAGAGTTTTCCCAATGCATTGTTGGAAATGGTCGACAAATTCGCAGCGCGGGACATGTTCGTTTTTCCAGTCAGTAGTTTCGTAAGCGTATGATTCGAGTATCTGTTTGCCCTTTCCCCCTTGTGATCAATATGGTGTTTTTTGTAAAGCGGCAGAACGCTCAAGCTGTCAACTGACACTCATTCAAAATGGGCCATGTTTTGTCCACCGTAAACTTTAAAAAATGGACTCTCCATAGCAAACTCTTGGTGGTGCACTGTATTGTGAAACGCCCGAATTAAGGGCAAATTTAAGCTGCACCTAAATGATCTATACGATAGACATACGCAATACCCACCATGTAACAAATGGATGGCATACAGACTTACTTTCTTTCCCACATCAGTTTGTGTACATGTTTCCGGCAGCTTTCAAGAATACCAATGATGGAATTTAAATTATTCAAAAAGTTTATGATCGTATGTGGTTTGGTTGTCTTTGCATTTTTACGTTCAACATCCCCCCTTTCAAATGGACTTTGCCATGCGCCTGACGTTTCAAGCGTACGTGATATAACCCAAGAACTGAAAGCTGGAACTACCCAAACTTGGGTTGTTCTTAAACCAATTGTTTGGGTTAGAATTTCTGCTAAATTCAACCAAAACTTGTGGCCATACAAGACCACATTTAATTTGGTCTTGTATGACTTCAACTTTTGGTTGAATTTATCATAAAGTATAACCCAAACAATTGGTTATAGAACAACCCAAGTTTGGGTAGTTCCAGTTTTCACCCTTTATTTTGTAAAATTAACCCAGGCAATTTTTCAGTGTATACATGCAGAGGTCAACAACACGCATAAAAGTGAGCCTATTTTTCGTTAGTAAAACAACTTCCACACTACAAATTTGGGAAGAAATAATAACATCTGTCAAGATTTCCCTTTTGCACTGTATCAAAAAATATATAAAAATACTGACAAGAGAAGCCCTTGGACGGGATTCGAACCGTGTACCTTTTAATCCTTCCCAATAACCACTATACCAAGCAAACACCTTTCATCTTCTGATTTCGTGACCGCCATCATTATTAAATAGTTTTCATGCATGTAACGTAAAACTTGTGCATAATTTTTATAAACATTTATATATTAATGCCAGTATTAAAGTGGTGATTTTGACGTAAAAGTCTCGCAACGACGGTGAACAAGTCAGAAATTCATCTGGATGCAAGTGGAACATCAATCGATAACAGCATTTTTCTTGCAATCGCTTTGGAATGCGTTCTAGGGCCCTTTAGGCATCTTTCAAGCAACTTCAAGAAATTTCATTTTTTGGGCCAAAATTGAAAAAAAAAAATGCAAGGGGTAAGCCTTACATTTTTAGTCTAAGTCGGCCAAAAATTGACTTTTCTCAAAACAAGGCAGAAATTCATCTAGATGCAAGAGGAACATCAATTAATACTCTAACACGCATAATTTTAAGGATTGGGGCAAAAAACCCACAATTTTCGAGAAAGAGAAGTTAATTTTTGAGCGATTTTACCTAAATTTTCGACGGAAATTCCCCTTTAGCATCACATTTGTCCTGCAATTGATTTGGAATGCGTTCAAGGGCCCTTGAGGCATCTTTTTGGCAACTTTCAAGAAATTTCAGTTTTTGGCCAAAATTGAAAAAAAAAGTGCACGGGGTTAGCCTTACATTTTTAGTCAAAATCGGCCAAAAATTGACTTTTCTCAAAACAAGGCAGATATTCATCTGGATGCAAGAGGAACATCAATCGATACTCTAACACTCATAATTTTAAGGCTTTGGGCAAAAATAAACAATTTTTCGAAAAAAATAAGTAAATTTTTGAGCGATTTTACCTTAATTTTTCGAAGGAAATTCCCCTTTAACAGCACATTCGTCCTGCAATCAATTTGAAATGCGGTCTGGGGCCCTTGATGCATCTTTTTAGCAACTTTCAAGAAATTTCATTTTTTAGCCAAAATTGAAAAAAATGCATTTTTAGTCAAAATCGGCCAAAAATGGACTTTTCTCAAAACAAGGCAGAAATTCATCTGGATGGAAGAGCAACATCAATCGATATTCTAACACGCTTAATTTTAAGGATTTGGGCAAAAATGAACAATTTTTCGAAAAAAATAAGCAAATTTTTGAGCAATTTTACCTTAATTTTTCGACGGAAATTCCCCTTTAACAGCACATTTGTCCTGCATTCGATTTGTAATGCGTTCTAGGGCCCTAAAGGCATCGTTCTAAAAACTTTTAAGACATTTTATTTTTTTTTTGCCAAAATTGAAGAAAAAAAAACAAGGGGCTAGCCATACATTTTTGGTCAAAATCGGCCAAAAATTGACGTTTCTCAAAACAAGGCAGATATTCATCTGATTGCAAGAGGATTATCAATCGATACTCTAACACGCATAATTTTTAGGATTTTGGCAAAAATAAACAATTTTTCGAGAAAAAGAAGTTAATTTTTGAGCGATTTTACCTTAATTTTTCGACGGAAATTCCCCTTTAACAGCACATTTATCCTGCAATCGATTTGAAATGTGTTCTAGCGCCCTTAAGGCATCTTTCTAGCAACTTTCAAGAAATTTCATTTTTTTCTTGGCCAAAATTGAAAAAAATGCAAGGGGTTAGCCTTACATTTTTAGTGAAAATCGGCCAAAACTTGACTTTTCTCAAAACAAGGCAGAAATTCATGTGAATGCAAGAGGAATATCAATCGATACTCTAACACGCATAATTTAAAGAAAAATGGAAAAAACAAACAATTTTTCGAGAAAAAGAAGTACATTTTTGAGCGATTTTACCTTTATTTTTCGACGGAAATTCCCCTTTAACAGTACATTTGTCCTGGAATTGATTTAGAATGCATTCTAGGGCCCTCAAGGTATCTTTCTAGCACCTCTCAAGACGTTTAATTTTTTGGCCAAAATTAAAAAAATGCAAGGGGTTAGCCTTACATTTTTAGTCAAAATCGGCCAAAAATGGACTTTTCTCATAATTAGGCAGAAACTCATCTGGATGCCAGAGGAACATCAATCGATACTCTAACACGCATAATTTTAAGGATTTTGGGCAAAAATAAACAATTTTTCGAAAAAACTAAGTTAATTTTTCATCGATTTTACCTTAATTTTTCGACGGAAATTCCCCCTGAACAGCACAATTGTCCTGGAATTGATTTGGAATGCGTTCTAGGGCCCTCAAGACATCTTTTTCGCAACTCTCAAGAAATTTCATTTTTTGGCCAAGATTGAAAAAAATGCAAGGGGTTGGCCTTACATTTTTAGTCAAAATCGGCCAAAAATTGACTTTTCTCAAAACAAGGAAGAAATTCATCTGGATGCAAGAGGAACATCAATCGATACTCTAACACGCATAATTTTAAGGACTTGGGCAAAAATGAACAATTTTTGGAGAATAAAAGTTAACTTTTGAGCGATTTTACCTAAAGTTTTCGACGGAAATTCCCCTTTAGCAGCACA